GCGGCTGTACTCATTTTTGTTTTTTAAAAAAGAGGACCCTTCAGCGATCAGACGCCACGTGTCAGTATACTATTTTTTTTTAAAAAATCGTAGTATAGCCGCACGGCTATACCCTTTAATATATAAATTAAAAAAGGAAAAGAGGACCCTCCAAGTTTCATTAGTTTGTACTTTATAGATTTTAATTTGCTAGTTTCAACATATCCAAAGTAGATATTAATAAGCCACTACTATATAATGTTTTAGTATAACTTTTATAACATATATTATTGGTATTCAATAATATATGAGAGCGATTTGTATAATACGTGAACTTTGTGTGAATTATTGAAAATTGTAAAAAATATGGTAATTAAGCTTTAGAAATGCGTATGTACATGTACAATACGATTATTATATGTTTGCTTTTTAAAAAATAGTAGACATGTATAGAATACGAATGTATTATTGAAAAATACATACGTACATATATACTTATATATATAAAAGACTATAAGATATTAATTAAATTAAAGAAGTTGAGGGGAAAACAAACTAATTTTATATTTTTATAAAAAAAATTTAAAACAAATAACATAAACACTTCTCGCGACGAAATTTCGTCGGCATAGGTCTATGCCGGCAAATATTCGTCGGATTAGGTTTCTCCCGACAAAAAAACCCCTGCCGACGAAATTTCGTCGGGAGAGGTCTTTTTAAAAAATATATACATAAACTTAGGATGTTTAGGTTAATTAATTTTTGAAAATTTTATTTTTATTAATTAAATAATATATTTGACTGATTTGATTAGTTAAATTAGTAATTATATTTTAATTATTATTTATTTAGTGAATAATTAGTATTAAATATGTTAATTAACTTCATGAATTATACTACTTAATAAATAGTACTTCAATTTTTCTTTTTCTTTGTTTCCTTTAATATTCACTAAGTAAATAATAACTAAAACATAACTACTAATCAAAGTAATTAAAAAAGAGATACATATCTGTAAAATAGTATAGCCGCGCGGCTATACTGTTTTTTAAAAATTTTAAAAACTGTGTATAGCCGTTCGGCTGTACTATTTTTCCATGTAAAAAAAGAGGAGCCCAGTCATTAGGCGCCACAGTGGTGGTGGATTCCCCCTTCCCCCCATGGCACCCAGGATCGAACCCCAGTGGGGTTTCTTTCCTCCAATGTAACC